GGTCTTCATTGCTTCCATAGGTAATTAACATTTAGACATGATTTTAAACTACTGAACGCTATCCCAGTCTGTCATTCAAACGTTTACGCTACATATATAACGAATGCGGAAATATCATCATCATCGTATACAATAATCTACATTAATGTTACAAAATATATACTAGTGTAACAATACAATGTTTTTACTTACATTCATTTCAAGCGATGGGACAGACCAATCCTTTTTTCGTTTCTAATTAACATTGATATATTTTACAAAGCACAACTTAATAATAATATCATTGTTCTTATACTATTTGATACAGTATGATAATATTTAATTATGAAAATGATTTCTTTGCATAACATTTTCATGACCTTTGTGGCATCTTATTTCTCCTTTTTGTAATTAAGAATAACCTGAAATAATTACATGTACCTTGCAGTTTGGCTTATTTATATTTTAAGGAAAGATGAAAAAATGAATGAATGCAATTAACCAATAAAGATATGTATCTTTAACTTTGTCTGTGAAACCTTAATTTTAATGCCTTCATTTTTAATGATATAATTATCTGATATTTTGTTATCATGATTTATATCTCCGTGTGCTTGTTTTTCTTTTATAAATTTTAAGCAGGTTTCTTGTCGTGAAATTTTAAATTGCTGAGTAAGACATTGTATACACACCGGTCTCTCAAATATCGACCTGTGTCTTACGACGCATTACTCACCCCAAATGAGGGTAAAAATGACTCCGACATAAAGAAGTCCGCGTAGGGATGACAATTTCATTTTATAAAACACAATATATCTTTTCAAGTGATTAAAATCGTTTATTGCTTCCAAGGGATCACTGTTTTCCAAGAGTTTAATATTGCAAGTGCAATTGATAGTTCGACTGTGTTACTATTTATTCAAATATTCAAAACTACTTTCACTTTCGGTTTTAAACAAACTATCGACGAAATACTATCACGCGTGTTGAACGAAACTGGGTTTGTAAAACAACTAAAAGATTGTCAAAGCATGTTTTGAGTAAAAATGATGTAATTGCTATTTTGCCAACAGGGTATGGAAAAAGTTTAATTTTTAAACTGGCCCCATTTGCGTTTTGTTCTATCATTTCCACAGGTGCTTGAAACAAACTTTTTAAAGTTTTACATGGGCTATATATCTTAATATACATATATAGACTATTTGATTATGTGACTAGCGCCTGTGATCATTTCCGTGTTCAAGCCGCCATGTAAAAGTAGTGCGTTCCCATCATGCTTAGAGTGGTTTCACACAGGTCAGTAAGACCGGTGTACACAATGCTGAGTAAGAAGCAAAATGTTACTTGTGTTTGACTCGGATTGTTTCGTACTTCGTCCAACCAATTGAATCTTTCCGAGCTTGGCGAATAAATAACTTAGATTTGAAAAGAGAGATATCCTAGGTTAAACTCGCAATAAATAAAAGATGTTTTAATTTGTCTTCTTGATAAATGATACAAGATATAAACAACCGTTTCATTTTTTATGTTTATGTAATATAGTGTATTATTTGTTATATGTTTATGTTCTGTGTGTTTGGACTTATTTTAAGACAAACAGTTGTTTATATATAGAGAGGTTAAATGAATAATACAGATAAATCTAAATATTTTTTCAATAAAGTTTTGTTAAAATGTGTCAAGAGGTTTTCGTAGATTTGGATATACATGTAGTTAACAAAAAGCATAATAGATTTAGACTGAACAAGATTCAGTTTTTCCGTTTTTGTCTGGTTGCGTAAAACTACAAATATGAATGCTTACAATGTTTTATCTTTATACAATACATTTTCATGTTAAAACTGCCATTGAAGGTATTCACTTGAAACTAAATACATGTCCTCGGAATCATAATTGAATGCCACTTTTCAAAATAAAATTTATCCAAAACCCGTAACTCTAAGGTGGATTTTAATTGAAATATGGCCATTTTTAAGTTATTTAAGGTATTTACTTTTATCTCAAGAAAAAAAGAATAATAGAGATCACTACCTAAAGATTATTACTCTGACATTGGTTTTAACTGATCATAACACCTTAAATTTGAAAGCTCGGAAAGATTTCTGTCAAAGGAACTCCACTTAGGACCAAAAGCCTAAACAATACAGTTTGAATTTCTTACATAGATGAGCTGGGACACTTAAAACAGTAATATAAGCAAAGATAATTAAAAAATATAGTCAGAAATGAATTAAAAATCATATTTTGTGCTATTTTTAGTCTGATTTGAGTCAATAGCGTTCTAAAGCTTTTTTTGCAGTTTTGGGTCATTTTCCACGATTAGATAATTATTCTGGGAAAACAGAGAGAGCGAATGATCTGAAATTTTACCTTCAAGTTATTAGGCTAGACCTATATCTAATGGAACATTTAACTCGAGAAATTGTTTCCAGTACTGTTCTGCCATCTCATTAGAGTCCTTTCAGGCTTGGTATATAACATCAATTTTCTGAACAACTGAAGGCATTAATTTGACACTAAATACAAATGTATATGTTTTCAGGACCATACCTGGAGGTTATTCTCTGAACCACATAAATTTAACATAGTTTTAGTCTGAATAAATGGCCTTTTGTGAAGTTAAAGTTTGGCAAGTAATATCAATCTACAAAACGACATGTATGTACTGGCGGTATTCATTTAAAACTTAAACAACTAACATCAAGGTTTGAAAGAAAGCAGAAAATATTCAAATGAACGTTAAAGTTTGGCAAGTAATATCAATCTAAAAAATGACATGTATGTACAGGCGGTATTCATTTAAAACTTAAACAAATAACTTCAAGGTTTGAAAGAAAACAGAAAATATTCAAATGAAACCGTGTCATGGGATAATAATTACAGGTCTCTACCAAAGGCCCATAAAACTCTGACATATAATTTCACTGCCCTTTGTGAATTTAGAAATTTCTTGCTGCAACATGACTGATGTTTATATTTAGTCATTTTTGACAACATTTATGCAATTCCATTTTCATGTCCGCCGCATCCAGTGCTTTCAGCACTTTGATTTTTGTAGAAAATATATATAATTTGTAAAGTTGGACAAAATAAAACATATGAAAAGCGCTATTAGAATAAAATATTCCAAAATGACCAAAGATAAACTGTACTTTTGACCTTTTGAATTATCAGACTGTTCAAAATTGTCTATTTAGTCTTAATTGCATATTTAAAGTCCAAATTGAAAAGAAAATCAAGGCGATTCTATGGCAACATTTTCCTCATCGCCGCTCATCTTCTATGAAATAGCAATATCGTGATACCTTTATATTACCAGCTGATGACCAGTTAAATTATTCAAAAATTGAGTATAATTAATAATATAAATGTGATCCTTTGTAAACTGTCCTCAAACTGAATAGTTCATGTGACACGGGTGTTCTTATTAGGACAAAAAAACAACAACAACAACAACAACAACGATCAAACAACAACAACAAAGCAAAAACAAACAAAAAATTATGTTATAATCTAAATTAATCTTGTATTTTTTGTTTGTTTTGTAAGTCTTAAACAGTTAATGCACATATACTTTAATGTATAATTTATCTATAAATATTAACTTCTCATTCTTACTTAAGTTTTTTTTCTCATTCATTTAATTGTGTACTTGATTATTTTTATATCAACTATTGTTAACATTTCACATCAAATGTGTCAAGCTTAAATTTTAACTAAGATTAAATCTTCAGATTAAAACGCAAACTTAATATATCCTGCTTAAAGGCAAATATAAAGGGATGTTAATGGTTCTAAGTGATAATACTTTTTATATGATCAGGGATTTAAGGCCCTTAGGGAATAATTATGAGATCTACCATCACAGATCTATTGAATATGTGATTGTTTTAATTCCTTTTCCTTTTTAAATGAGTCAATATCTTCCTTTATGATTTAATCTGCTTCACTTTCTTGTATGTATATATACTGGTCTGAAATTCTGTGAAGTCATATTCCATCTTGACTGTCACAGAATAAAGAACTTATGTTTTTCAAAATTCAAATATTGGATTTTTATTTATCAGGTATGTTGAGTTACTTGTTTTTCTATATCTACTGTTTTCCATTCAATGTTTCACTGTAAGAAATATGTTTTATTTTATCTTAAGCTGTTTCTCTCAAGTATGTTTTCATTTTATATTTTGCACATTTTTAATACTTTGCATATTAAATAATCATTGTATTTTATATCATTGTAACTTAAATAACTGAGATCTTGGAATATTTCTTATTGTAGAAGTAAATTAAATTGTCATAAGATAATGTATAAAGTTTAGTTTTTGCTTTATACGAAATGTTAAATCTAAGTTCTTTACTAAATATATATTAATTTGTAAATAAAATACTATTATCTTAGTTATTAATAAATTGTTCCATAAGTAATATCTTTCACATAATTTAGATTGATATAGTTGATTTTGTTCAATCATCAGATTCAATTCAAAGCTATGTAAAAGTTCATTTTATAAGTATCGGCTGATTAGGATTTTTATCATCGACCAAGATCTCGGTATCTTCTTTGATTTTTGTAGAAAAAAGCGAGTTATTGTAAAATTCCCCGTATCATGTATTTGTTAATTTAAATATTACAATTACTGAATTATTATTTATTATGTATTGTAATATAAGATATTCCATCTTGACTGTAACAGAATAAAGACCTTATGTTTTTTTCAAAATTTAAATCATCAGTCATCCAGCATATCTCCCCCACAAGTGGCGCGCATCAGAAACCCGTATAACAATTATATTGCAATAAGTTGGACATGCCTTTTACTTTTTTGAAAACCCAATCAATTCTGAAAGTAAATTTGTATAGCTTTTTGTCGTATTATGTTGTCTTAATTTTTATAAATTATGTATTTTGAGGTATAACTTTTAATCATTTTTATTGTATCAAACTAAATTTGAAAATGTCAAATATATTTGAATAATTTAATTCCCATTATTTGCAAATGAGTCATTGAAACATTATTAAAAATACAAGAGCACCGCTGTTTTAATTCCATATCCTAAATTATAGGGGAATATTTATAGCAATTTGTTACTTTAAACACCAGTTTACGACAGTGAGTGACGTCAATTTGAAAATGTCAAATGTGATACGAGGTGAGACCTATATGGACAAATTAAAGAATGAATAATTCGACACCTATCTGTCACTATCAACGTTGTTATACCATAAACACAATCTAACACCCACACTTATACGAAACTAACGAAAATAAACTTTAAAAAAAACAACAACAAAAAACATTAATTTATTTTTTTACTAAAATTGTCAAAAAAACAAAGTGTTTTGTTTGTGGAAATATCAATAACCTCGCGCGCAATAATAGTAACAATCTATTTCATGACGTAACATTTATTACTGTGGCCATATTTTAAATTCAATTTCATGTCAAATGTTATTGATCCCGCCATGATTGTTTTCATCATGACTCACCCTACTCACGTTAACCTTAATGATTTAATAAATTTGTGTGAAATTAACAAGTTGCTTGTAAAAGCAAGAACTTTGCATACAAACTAGCCATCAAACTTTCAAATATGACAATTAAATATTACACTGTGTCAACTCGCGTTCATATTCATAAATTTGATTGAAATAACGTTAACGTCAAAAACCTACGTCGCGAAGGAGTTCAACAAAAAAAGACAAATATATGCAAAAATATCAATAAATTTTATTCACATATTTAACAATAAGGAAACAATGACTCAGAAAAAAAACTATAAATTATGCCATCTTATATATACATGTTGAAATAAACAACACACCTATAAATGTCAGAAAATTACATGACTAGAGTTTTTTTTCTGTATTTGTATTTGGCAAATAAAGAACATACAAAATTTAACTCAACAATTCTTTTGCCATCACTATAGTAGCTTTATGTACACACTATAGTAGTATTACGTACACACTATAGTAACTTTACGTACACTAGTAACTTTACGTACACTTTTGTCACAATAATTACTCTATACTGCACGCAATCCAATGTTTTTCTTTCTTTTAGCTAATTTAAATGCACATAATTGAGCACCGACTTACTAACTGAATGCAGCTCAATCCTGTTTACCATTAGACAATGTTTTATTAGTCATATCGGTTCCACATGATCATCATCATTAATCTTGTATAACAGCAAAAATATGCCATTGAAGTAGATGAAACCAATGGTAACCCCTTCAGTTGCACTTTTATAGCATCCACAATATGCGTATATTGACGGAGTGCTCCGTGTTACATTATGAATTATATTCGCGGAGCAACATTTCCATAGACGGCATTTGACGGAGTTACTGTAACTGTATCAATGTATCTACATACTGTCTGATATACGAATAAATACTGATCCTGAAAGAAAAGAGAATATATTGACTATACTGTATAAATGATAGGAAAAACATTGTAAATAGAAAATGAATGATATTTGAAATAAATCTGTGATAACTGTTAAGGTAAAAATTTGTTAAAGTTAAGGAATATAAGTTTTGAAATTTCATTGAAGAGCACTAACATCTATAGTTTAACACCAACAAATGCTTAGTCTGATATATATTAAACGTTTACACTAGCACGAAAAACATTTGTTAATTTATATGACAGTTTATATAGTTACAAATGATATTATTTATGTACAATGTAAATCTTAGTTACAAATATAAAATTTATCATCACATTGTGGATTAATGACTTTACTAATATTTAACTGTAAGGCATTTTGACAGACACATAGATATATTGAACGGAAAATAAATGTAAAATTTCAAGCTACATAGACATTTACGACATCTTGACCTTTTATATCAAATGTCGTATCATAAATCATTAACATTTAATACGTTCATTCATTTCATATACATGTATGTTTAATGTCCTTTAAAAAATAAATAAATGGATGTTTTAATGTCCTTTAAAGAATAAATAAATGGAATATACACTGAATTTTTCTAATGTGAATTTTTCTAATTACTCTTATCAGGCTCTATCAAACTAAAACTTGAATCAAAATCATCAAAGTACGCATAATGTATAAAATGTGGAGAAAATGAAAGCCAGCTTTCGAAACCATTTGTTTTTGATACCACCATTTTTCGTCGTTACGTCCGCACGACATTTCTGTCAAATCATTTTGTTTAGCCATACTATGCCCTTGATTATTATAACAAAATTTCAATGATAAACAGCGTGTTAAATGAGGAACAGTTTCACGTTTTATATGGTAAACTACTGACCTTGTTCTTTATAAACTGCGGTCTTCGTAATTGTATTTGTCTTACAGTATTGAATATGTCAACTTCATTGTCCTGATTAACTTGATCTATCACGTTACTGGCGCTAACAAATATACCACAACATGTTACACCATCCCTGTAAACAAAATAACACAACATATACCGAATACCATTGGCTGTAAACAAAATAACACAACATGTTACACCATCCCTGTAAACAAAATAACACAAGATATACCGAATACCATTGGCTGTAAACAAAATAACACAACATGTTACACCATCCCTGTAAACAAAATAACACAACATATACCGAATACCATTGGCTGTAAACAAAATAACACAACATGTTACACCATCCCTGTAAACAAAATAACACAACATATACCGAATACCATTGGCTGTAAACAAAATAACACAACATATACCCAATACCATTGGCTGTAAACAAAATAACACAACATATACCCAATACCATTGGCTGTAAACAAAATAACACAGCATAATTATATCAAACACCATTCCTGTTAACAAATAACGTAATATATACGGATTGCACAAAGATAACATCAAGTCAATTAGGCTTCAATAAAATATGTAAGAAGATGCACAAAGGTGTTCAACAGTAACTTCTTATAGTGTAATGTCAAAAGCTAAGTAACTGTGGACACTGTAGGGAGGTAGCTTAATGACACAGCATTGTCAAACAGTCCTTACAACTTTGTACTGTGTGATCCCGAGCTAAATAGTAATTACATAATGATGAATAACTACTAAGCATATTAATACGTATAAATATTAACATATTAACTGAGGAATGTGACATGTTGACCTATTTAGGTATCTCGTTAGAAAGGTCATGACAGAATTTTCAAAGATAGATGTGGAAAATATGAAAATAAAAATATAGTTTAATAGATTAATGTATAAAATGTCATTTTCCTCATCAATATAGATAATATAGATATTTAAAAAAAACTAACATATTAGGTTATCAAATTCAGTCAAGTTGTTTCGAACAATGTACATGTATCATAAGTCACGTAAAGAAATACATGTATTAAAAAATAAGCACGGACAAGGTCATCATTATTTTAAACATATTCCAAAACTAAAACAAAAAAGCCATCCGCGCTCGACTATTTCCATTTCTTTATAAAGGGGTAAGAATAGGTCTTTGGAAACATAAGAGGGAAACTTGTTGAAATGTATGAGAGAGTAATATACTGCCAACTATAAGTCCATATTACAATCGTAAAACAAGTTTTTCGGGTTTAATCAAAAGCATTCCCTTAAAGGGTTTAGTGATAAAAAAGCAGATGGCCCCAACAACTGCTATCTTGAAAAGAAATATAACTATTACAAAATTCATGATGTTACAAGTTTCAAATCAATATCTAAACGGTTAATCTTAAAAAGTAGACTGGTACGAGCAAGGGCGTCATGCCGACAAAGCCGTCAACGCCAAGTATAGAGGTATGTTTTTCTTACATATTTTTAGTTATAATGATTTTTTAACAGGTTGAATAAACCAGTTTAGATGATATATAGTAAAAAAACGTTCATACACGACCAAATGTCAAAAATTATTATAACCTTTTACACATTTTTATACTTGTCAAAAATCGTTATAAACCAATTTATAATGCAACACAATTACACACTGTACCTCATTTGGGAGGGAAATGAATATTAATTTGTCATGTTTATCAAATTATATAAATGGCACGATTAAAATCGACCTTACAAGCGTACAATGTTATCAACATTTACATGTAGACTAACTTTATTACTTACAGACAGAGTACGGTGATAGGTGATTCTGGGAAAGATTTGCGGTAAAGACTTGCCCTGCTCATCACAACCAGGAAAGATTCTATTGATCCGGGAAGATTTTTTCCTAGACTCCAATCGTTATATGTAATCATGTAAACAAGTTTCGAATCTTTGATCCCCTGTAAACGAATATGTTAAATGAAATATCTGATTCTTTATAAACAAATATATCAAATGAATTCTACCTAGAATATTTGATTCTTTGTAAACGAATATATTAAATGAATTATACCTAGAATATTTGATTTTTTTTGTAAATGAAAATATATATTGTGTGTACTATACCTAGAATATTTGATTATCTGTTTACGAACAAATTTAATGAATTATACCTAGAATATTTGATTCTTTGTAAACAAATATAAGTCATACCTAACATATTTAAGTGAATAAAACTGACTGCAATATGTGTGCATAACAGCTCATAAACTCAATATTTCATATAGTAATTGCAACAAAACAGCAACAAAATATGTTGTTTCACTACGGCTTACTCATGATATTAACATGTCATTAATCACGTCAGTTTTGTACAGATCCATAGCACAGATCTTCTTCCCTTTAAATGTGTTTTGTGAAATGAAAACTGAAAAAGATTGATGCAGGTGAATACGTCAAAGTCCTGCTTTACCTTTCGCATTATTCTAAACGTTCTTTCCGTTGCTTCAGCACATGGCGTTTCTAAAGCAAGGGTCTCTACAATTAATGGCCCAAATGTAATGGAATCACCAAGGGAAGGCCACCACGCACACGCATCCTGTAAGAAAAACAAAAAATCCTTATAAAGCTAAACAAAGTGATGAAAGTATTCAAATTATCATATTATATTTTTTAAAGGATGTCTGTAAAAATTGTTCAGAAAGACAATTTGATTTTCCTATAATATTTTAGCTAATTGCAAAGCGAACTCAAACTATAAAAGGAACCCTAATAATAAAGTCTGTCATCATCATCATCATCATCATCATCATCATCATCATCATCTGATTTTCAACTTTATACACCCCGAAACCAAATACTGAACAATTTCGTAAGTCTTTTGTTTATTCTGGATCTTGTATTTGGTACGAACTTCCTGATTATAATAAGTCTGCTACATCTGTGAACCATTTTAAAACCGTATACTTGAGATATTATCACACACTGATGTATACAAATTGATAATATCCTGTATGTATTTACATTTATGTATTTTAATAGTTTGAATATGTTAAATTTATATTGTTCCTTGTTGAGGGCCTCATGGAAGATTGATATGTTTGTTCAAATGTGTTCTCTCGTTAAATAAAGTCTTTATTGTTATTATTATTATTATTATTATTATTATTATTATTATTATTATTATTATTATAGAACGAGATTGCTTGTCGAGTGAAATGGAAACAAAACTCTGAGAAAATATAGAAAATGGTTAGATGGATCATAAGACACAGAAAAAACTTCTACATCTTCCTTGCCCCATCAGTTGGACAAAACTATATCTAAATTTTCTACTGATTCTAGCATAAATTGAAACTTAATATTACAGAAGTTCAGTAGAAGTACATATGTGGTATAAACATTATTTCAATAGATACAAGTTTAAGAAATGCAAATAAATGTCAGTTCATGATAAATATTGTACAGCAGATGTATCTCAATCTAGTGCAGTAATATGTATTATTTAATGAGTGTTTGTTGTTAACTGAAATGTCAAAAGGCGACGAACTGGGCAAAAACCTGAAATGAAATCCTCATCATACGTGATTACATTTATAAAGAAAAATATGATTGAAGCGATATGACTTGTAGGAATTGTTGTTCGCTATCAAATCTATTTTAATAATTTTTTAAAAAAGTTTGCAACCAAATGAGCATTTCCGCCTTCATTAATAAATTGTATATTAAATATATGTTTATCAAGTAGTAATGATTCATAACTATAATAAATCGTAATAATTTTACGAATTGTATGACCAAAATAGAGAACTTTGTTTTCTACTCTCTTATGTTATTAAATATGAAAGGATTTGCCAAGAAAACACACTGTATTGTACATCTTGGTATATTTGGCCAGCTAGCATTAGTTTTAAATGATACAGCTTCGAGACGAACAAGCTGTTCACATGTAAAAGTTTTACATGTGAACAGCTTATTATTGTTATATCATTAAAATGATTACCTTTCTGCACGTTTACAAAAAGGCGGAGCTTATATTGTACTGCAGTATTTTGATTGGCCATGGTGTTCTCAGGCACGATTGTGAAAATTTACATATTTACGTTGAATAATCTTTAAAAATTTTAACATGTTAATACTTGCTTATCATCTTTAATGACAAGCAATAATTTTAGCACCAATATTTGATCGATCATGATTTAACAGCATAAGCGTGTGAGAATGCCAATCAAATGCTCAATTATGCTAGTAAACTGCACACTGGCATAAATTTAAACAAATAAAAAGATGAGTTATTCGTTAAATGTGCTATGCCAAACCGCAAGATGTAATTACAAGCGTTGTAAGAAAGATTGACATTAACGAGACAATACAAATATAGTGGTTAAAATCATGGTCGTTTATTACTTGTAACGCAACACTATATGTCTTCATATAACAAAATGAATAAATTTGTAATCAAAGTGTGGGTGATCTAATGCACATACTAAGCTTTACATACACATTACTTTCTTATTTCTTTGAAATATTACTGAACGATTTCAACCTTATCTAACCGCTCTCCAAAGATTTTTTAACAGAATGGTAAAAACAGTGGTAAGTTAACTTTACTGCTGTTGAAACAGAAGTTGGTCTTTCTCTTTTTTTCAAAAACTCGCTATTGAATTTTATTGGCATACAGACATGTATGTGTTTGCCATATAGCTGAGGTTAGACTAATGTCTTTAGAAGACCGAAAAGGTGCAAAAACTAAGAAATGTTTACAGAATAAATATGGTCAGCTTCGAGAATGCATGAAAACATGTCCGCTGTGGTGTTAGAAACTAATTGTTGCTTTTTAAGAAATAACTCAAATTTTGTAACTATACCTAGACGTATTGTAATATAATCCAAATATACCCAAGATCTATAATACAATTTGCGTTAAAACTTTCGGAATGCAACCATCAAACAATCGTGAAATCGATACTCCAAAACTATATAAATAAATGACTGTTTAAAATAATTTTGAAAATGCAGAACACTAGTTTTTAAGCTTCTACGTTTTGCCAACCAAAACAAAAAATGTTGTTCTGAAATAGCACACCATACTATCCAGCATACTAAGAAATTACAATATGGCAAAATAGATTACATTAATAAAAAAGTAAAATAATCAGTTGACAGAAGTGCAATATTTAATAAAAATTTCAAAACAATTTTAACTTATTTTTTTTTTATCTTTTGTAATTCATACAATTATCATGTGTAGTATTGAGATCGGGCAGCGCGTGCGCTGGAAGGTTCGAACAAACTACATGACTTTTCTTTCTTTATTTCTTCCTTAGTCTTTTTCAATTTTTCTCTAACGTGTTTTTTTTTTCAAAATGGTTTTCTTATACTTTTTGAAATAATTTGCATACTGATTACTAACAATATATATATTATTTGTTTATTATCAAAATAGCAATATACATATTAATTATTCAATAATTCAATATGACATATATATGTTGTCTATTTGTTTACAGTTATGAACAACACAAAGGCTTAGTTTCATAAAAAAAAATATATAAGCCGCGTCACGACAAAACTAACATAGTGCGTTTGCGATAAGCATGGATCCAGACCAGCCTGCGCATCCGCGCAGTCTGATCAGGATCCATGCTGTTCGCTTACCAACCCTATTACAAGTAGAGAAACTGATAGCGAACAGCATGGATCCTAATCAGCCTGCGCGGATGCGCAGGCTGGTCTGGATTCATGCTGGTCGCAAACGCACTATGTTGGTTTTGTCGTGATACGGCTCATATAACTATTGTAATATAATAATGCACTCTCAAGGTTTTCCTCTCGTACATGTTCATGGCATCAGTAAACAATTAACAGTTTATGTTGAATCAAAGAGGAAAGGACATTATAACAAACCTCTTGATCCTCGTCTAGAGCATTGAGAGAAATGATCACATTTGATCCATGATCGTAGATCAATCTCCAGAAATCAACTATTGTGTTTTTCAGAGGAAGCTGCGACACAATGTATCCATTTTTATTGTTTCTCGACTGTAATATATGAAAGGAAAATATGTTATATATTCGCCATGCTATACATTATACAACTGCATAGCTAAACTTAGTATGATGCGGTATGTTGTATCATGTTTGATGTACTCTTAAAGGGGATGAACACATAAAATACAGCGACATCAGGATAGGCAGATGTCGAAATTTACATATCCGCAAAAGATTGGGAAAATTAATTGTGTTGCCCTTCTTTGTTGATTTTCATTCACATTTTTACGTCGATTGCGACATTTTTGTGTCTTTGCATGTGAAGGGACTATTGTTCCTAATTGATATCATAAAAAACTTTTTCGTTTAAAATTTACATAACGATATAATACAATGTGGTACCATTTTAGTTAAAGATCATTTAGATAAAGATATAATACTTACTGGTACCATGACTGCATTCACATAATCAGTTGTATCTGGAACATACGTTGACAAATATGGTCTGAACCGATCAGCTGAAAAAGAGCACATATATACTACTTAATAATCGTAAAGGGGATTGGTGACCTAGTGGTGTCTGCCTCTGAACCCAGAGACCATGGGTTCGAACCCTACTCGGGTCACGACCATATTTCTTTTTATCACACCAGAACTGGTTGGTTCAAGGAAGCGGACTCGAAAGTGATTAAAGTGATATTGTGCCCATCCATGTATATATATATATAGAGTGAACAGGTGACAGTCAAAATAAGTTAACTTTTTCTCATAATTCCTTTCAATTTTATAATTTACTTCACATGAACGATAAATAACTTACTAGGCCCTGTGAAATGTGTGTAATTATCCACCGGAATGTATCTGTAACTTTCAATTTATAAAAAGAGTGGGGCAGTCTTTTTATATATTTAGGTAGATTTATTTTTTACCCTTTAACATATTTAAATATCATGTGTTGGTCAATAACCATTATAACGACCAGTTTATTGAAACATATGGTCAGTTAAAGTCAATGTGACAATGAAAAAAATGAGCATAATGTCACATGTCATAAGAGCATAAGTTGCAAGAACTTGTTTCGCAATCGAGCTTAAATAAATATGGCTAAACCAAACCAAACTTAATAATCTTTGCAACAAGATTGATCATATTGACAACAAAATTTACAAGAGCATTATGGAAGATGTCGTAAAAATATGCAATTACCTGCCAATATACTAAGATTCCTGTTCTTCTCAACATTTTCTTTCCTCAAAGCAGCTAAAAAGTTCTCATTCCCAAGTTTTGGTTTGAGATCTTCAAATTTCTGAAACAGATATATTTTTCATGAACTTGAATTGTTTGTTTTAGGATGTTTAAAGAACACACATAACGCAATAGATTTAATACCAAAGCAGGTTTTGTTTTAGAATGATATAAATATATTTTTTGAATTTTTTTTGTATACCACTATAATACATTGTATTGTTTTTTAGCATATCAATGACTCAATCTCCAACTTGTCTTGTTCAACTGGCTAAGTTTCATTAATTGGGCCAGTTAACGAATTTTTCCATGCTACTATTTCATGTAAATGTAATGGGAAATTGGACACTAAGGATCTTATTTGCATTTCTTCATTCTTTCTTTTTGGCAATCCAAGGATGAGTCGACCAAATTACAGAATGATAAAACAAAACTCTCATAATGCCAATCGTGAAGTTAAACAGTCAAATATTTTGTTTGACGGTCAGAATTGTACCTAATACCATACCTGGAATTCATCGGCGATCCTATTTTTCTGTCCTATATTATACTGTTCAATGTGTCTAAGACATTCCGAATGGAAAGCTGTTTTTGACAGAGTTGTGTCCCCGTATCCAAGTGCCTCTTGCAGTGCATAGTGAACTAATCTGTACTGGTCCTAAATACAGGTTAACATGCATTATAATTTGCATTCACTTTGATATTTAGGATAATGTCAAATAAAAATGTTCCAAACATAAACCTGTCAGGAGAACATAGAAAGGACACTTGAAGTGAATAGTGTTTGTTTATTCGGTAAAGGTTAACGACGCCGTAAAGTTGGGCAAAGTCTTCATCCTAAGCCGTAAACTAATCTTAGACTTACGGGAGTTTTTAAAAGATGAATAATTGTTGGGGAAAAATGCACATTTTTATTTATTGTTTCTGCATGATATTTCAAATGTCCTGACAACCTAAAAAGCCTAACGAAGGCATTTCCTCATCTAACAATGCAGCGCTTTAATTCTAAAATTAAATACTAGGTAAGTATCCCTGTGAATCACAACTAATAAATTTTGGTGTGCTATATGCGAGAATATTTATGTCAAATAGTAAAATGAGCAGAAAGAAATGATTATGCAAGAATTCGTGATTCATGAAAATTTTTAATAATTTTATCCTTTAGTTGACTTTTGTTAAAAATCATTATTAAGTCTACATTCTTTCTAAACAGTTATGCAATGATAGGCTTAAAGGATGCAAAGACGAGGATTTTTTATAAATTTAAAAGTAGCCAGTTTCCATAAAATCAATATGCTAAAAATAGAGAATTTGCATGAAATCAATATAGTAAATATATGGTAAATTAAACATGATTAAGTTTATTCAATAAAAAATAAATTAAGCAAGAGCTATGCATGCCCCCATCACCGGATAAAGCGACGCTCTCCCGCACCGTCTGCAGCAGTATAAAATCTTTAGAAAGTAAGATATAATAATCAATGAGCTTGTAATATTGGAATAATCTATTAATGTGTGTATAATCGCACAGTATTTATATTGAGTTGGACAAATTACAATAAATAATATTGATGTCATAAAGACGTGGACTGGTAAATTAAGAGAGACAAAACATACCAGTGTTTGGATCATGTTCATCCTCTGCTGTCTCATTTTATGTACAAATGTTGGAATATCAATGTTACCTCCACGTTTACCATAATGGTACATGGCGTCTAATGCAATAAATGTACCCGTTCGTCCAACACCAGCGCTGTAATTTACAACAAATATATTCACCACATAAATATGTCTAATTAAAACTTAAATAATGAAGAAATTAAGCCAGAAACTGCCAAAATTTATGTTTTGTCGTAATAATTTTCAAATAGGGAACATATTAATTAGAAAAAGATGAGAAGCCGACAAGACGCTTAAATGTCTAATGCCTATAATTAACTTTAAAAATGTTAAATATTTGCAAATAAAATGCCAACGAAAGTTTTGTATGAACTTCAAATGCCTTTGTTCAGTGCAATAAGAATCTAGTCTTTAGAGTTCAAATTAACGTTTTCACAAAGACGGATACTATTTCATAACATGAATATTGTAGTTTTAAGATAAACTATTGAAACTAACCTGCAATGTACAATCATAGGTCCCGGTAGAGATATGGGTGTTCGTAAAACACATTTATAAAATGAAACTACTTCAAACGTGTCTGGAACTCCGTGATCAGGCCAGGCCGTAAAGTGAAACTGCTTGATTGTTCGAATATCTTCTGGATTCTGCGCATAAGATATTTTTTATTTAACATATTAAAGAAATATATATTTTTGAACAATGTTTTTTTCCGTTGATATAATTTTTTGTTTGAGAAAGATTGTGATGAATTCTACAAACATCTTAGTTTAAAATCATGTTTATAGTGATATTTTCAATATAGACATGTGAAACTGTAGCATATGTGTACACTTTTTTTTTTCTTTTTTTTAATGATTGTGAATTAACAGGAATCTATCGCCAATAATATTGTATGCAATAGTCTTACAGAGAGAGTAGTAGTTCAACGATTCCAATTAAAAACTATTGATTTATGTTCAGTTTTGAGAGAAACCAGTGATTGATGTTAAAAGCTAATATACAATCATGTACTATTTTTAATGATTTTACGTTGAAAAATTATTGCTTACCTCCTCACTGGAGAGTGTCAGCACTCGGAGTGTATAGAATGGGTGCTCCTGACTAGAGTTTAGATGAATCTGAAGGTCACCAAGTGTCAACGGGACTCTGTCAGTGGGCCAGTACCTTTCACATTTATTCTAATTTGAATGGAAAGAAAGTGGAAACGTAAGGGAAACAGTTAGATTTAATGGTTATATTTCGATCAAAAGTTTCATGTTTGATGACAAACTCAGAATATATTGTAAGTTTTCAGAAAAAAAATGTTTAAATGATGAGTATTTTTCATTTAAACGAGTATTATGAGAGAAGATAGATCAAATTATCATAAATCTTTTTGCGAACATTCATAATATTATGTTTCAAACATTGCTGAAACGAACAAATTGTTTATATCATAGTTGAGGAGAATCATTCAACCATTCCTGAAAATCAGAATTATATTTCATTGGAATTTAACAACATATTACGAGTGATATGTAAACAATAAACTAAACTGATCTAATGATCATAAGGGGTTGGAATGGCAAAAATTCCCACACAGACAAAAAAATTAAACAAAAATGGAAAAATAGATAAAAATAATGGAAAATGGAACATGTCATTAAATTACAATGTCATTAAATTACGGTATCGCTAGTTTATAGAGAAAAAAAGCAATTTGAATCAATCAATTTTAGCCGGCAAAAACTAACAAAACAGAAATTACAATAAGATAACATGGCATTTGTGCAGGCAGTAAGAACATATGTCTAGTCTTATCTGATCTGTTCATATATAAATTACAATTGACATAATTAAAGGTAATTAATGATAAAACGATAAACTACATCAAATGATAATGATGAAGCAGATTTCGATGATATAGCTGATTTATACAGACAAACAAATCTGTCAAAATGTAGAATAATTAAAATAAATGAGAACATTTTTAACCAGCTGAAATCAAGGTCAAGCAAATGATTGATACATGTTTAGATGTCAAGTTATGTCATCTTTTTACCTATTTTATTCTAAAAACCTTTAACAAGACATCACGGGTCACTTTGTAACTATATATGATTTCTATACATATAGGATTTTTATATAGCGTTTCTACAGCTATAGGATTTTTATATAGCGTTTCTATTTAGATATTTTCTATAGATCTAGGATTTCTATAGACATGCTTATCTGCTAATATACGTATACAGCAATCAATTTTAAAAGTCGGTTAAAAACAAAAACAACAATACATTTTTGAAGAAAAATAAACAACAATAATTACACTTCAAAGCCTCTCTCAAGATACAAACTTTACTACAAATAATCAATTTGTAAACAGTTTATTTTATGTTAATAAGTCGTATAGCTACTTTTGTGACTTGGCCTCTAATACAAGTGATTAGTGTTGATGTTACAAAAAAATTGAATTAAAATGAACTTTCTATAAAATTATGCCCAGGAAAAGGGAGTGGATGGCCTTATTAATAATGTGTTTGCTACTATATCAGGGGACTGCATGTTCGAATCTGTAGAGGATACGACCATATCTCATCATAAGATATCAATACTGTTTAGTCCATGAAACGACATTGACCTTAAGAAGATCTAAGTATTCATTACAAAGATCTATATCTATAATAAATCTGAAAACTAAGTTACCTTCGATTCTTCGACCAGGTTTGTCAGCATTACAATCTTGCCGGATTTATTCTGCCAAACCATTTGCCAGAAATCTTTTAATGTTATCTTATTTGGCCCTGAAATTAAAAATTGTAACATTGACTCGTACCCATTAAACTTTTTTTATTGTCTTCTACGGCATAAATAACAAACAAAAAGTAATAACGATAATGGTAAATTAATTGCGGTGAAAATTTAGTACAATAATGATAATTATGATAAAGTACTGATTGCTAGCTTATTCGTCTACATTAATGACAATTGTTGTTTTATCTTACAAATTTAATCATGACTACTGACAATAAAAAAAACTCTCCTAGATGACATAAAAGGACCTGATAACAACTGTCCGCTCCATATCTCATAACTAATCAAATCAAGCGAATTTATAACGGGGTGATAAATTTCTAGATAAACAATCTTTTTTAAATAATTTAGTGGCATTTACCTTGTGTTGCTATGTAACAATTTGGATAATCAACGCTCTGAAAACATAAAAAACAACAAAACATATTAATGAAATATTCAGCCTTTAGGTACATTTTACAGAACAGTTATTAATAATAACGTTTCTCGGTCACATATAATATAATATAATAAATAGAAAGCTTTATCTGTTTCGTTCACTGATATAACTATCAAGCTAACATAAGGGCGACAACTTTAGAAAAAAATACAAAATTCACCTTATTAGAGATATACTTGTCCTAACATGGCGCTAAAAATGAGCTAATAATGATTAGAAAGCATACACAAAAAAGGCTGGGAGGGGCGGTGACGGGGGGGGGGCAGCGGTGACAAAGTGGATAAGGTATAGTTAAAATATGTCATGTCATGTCTTTGTATAGAATGATATTGTTAACAAGACAGAAAATTCGGCTAATACATACATCTATAAAGTTTGCATTTATATAATCAGAATCTGGTTCTGTGGGATCCTCGTCTAGTACCACCCTGCTGTGATCATCTAAAAATAAAACATATAAATATATAAACTATAGTTACATGTATTAATTTATACATGTATATACATGTATATGTATGTATAGCTCTTAATATAATGTTTTGAATGTGTATGTTCAATTGGATTCACGCTGAATAGAAAATACAGAGAAGACTGGTGTGATTCTCTGAAAGTTTAGATTCATACAGAATTGTTAACAAATATCTAGCAATTACCACTTTCCTGAATATAAAAGATTATTTTTAAGTATATCTTTGATGAATAAATCTAAAATCTGTTCAAAATATAACATTATAAATTATATTATTTAATAATATACATAAATTACACGACTAACTTCTAACAAAAAAATGTGTAAAAAAATCAATTCCTCGCTGAAATACATAATTGAATATAAATTGATAAAATTGATTTTACAATACCACATGCATATGCGATTGCAAAGTACATGTATATATAACAAGATTTCTAACTTACATGGAAACATTTGAGCAAATCTGTTTTTGAATTTGTTCCGAGGTCGTTTTCCAGCTTCATGAGGGTATTTTAAGCCGTGTGGATATTGCTGAATATCAGAAAGAATTTTTCTTTCAACATAAACATTTTATTTACAAAACGTGTATTTCGTTGAAAATAAATATCGTTCACCTATAAGTTTATAACATAGTGTTATATAAAAACGTTAAATTCGTCTTTGATAACTTTTATACAGAAAACATTCGACGTTTTTGCATTATAAAAATTCCACAGTTATTGGAAACATAAAATATCAAACTTACATAATAACATACCTGCTGTGTAATACTAGTAAAACATGATAAAAATAATATTTTATTTAACTATAAAACTACATTGCAAAACTTTGTGAATTAGTAAAATAGTTAAGAATTAACTTAAACATATCTAAATTGAATAGATACCGTAAATTGTTCTTTAAATCGAGTTTTGTCTGCTTCCATTTCTTTAATGTATTTGCTGAAGTCTTGGACAGGTACCCCCGAGTTCTGTGCATTAAGATCTGTTTTGGTGTTGTAATAGGTTGGTTCAAGCTCTATACTGCCATTTTGTGCAATCTATCAAAATATTTAAATATGAAATTTTTCATCACACAAACTAATACATATACTATCAAAATCACAGAAACTTTCAAGCCGGGGGATAGGTTCTGACCCCCATGGTTATGTGATCAAAAAGAACATGCTATTCTTTGAAAGTGAACTTTAAGTCTTTCTTTACACTTTAATATTGGATACATTTATACTTTATAAAGCAAAACATTTCGTAAAGCCAGTTTTGTAAAAACACGTTGGGGTACTAGCGAATTTCAAGTTCCTAGTATAAACCACATGATGATGAAATAAGAGGTATATTTTTTAATAACCTTTCTCTGGAAAGTTGATAGTTTTGGAGAAGGTACAGCCAGGGGTAACGGTGTCGGGTTTTTCTTCTTCAGATTGACATATAAAACCTCCTGGTCATCTACTGTCACTGGAATAATTAATGACAGACAATACCATCAATTTATGATAACAAAACTGCGAAATTTCTCCAAAAATTAAAAAAATACTTTTCTTCAATTTAATTCAGTTCATTGTTCGCAATGATAAACTTTAAATGCAAATCAACTATAATATAATAAAATGAATGTAATTGTAAATAAAACGGAATCAAATATACATGCATAGCGATTGCAAATATAAAGCAGTTTATTAACTTTTTGTAGAATAAACTAGCAGAACTGCCTTATTGCAAGGAAGAATAAAGTGTCAGCGTTTGAACAGTTTAGCGAAATGCTGATATTAAGCTCTTCTTAAGAATGCACAACTTCCTATACATACGAGTATAAACAAACCAATATTGTTATTTTCAATATGTCTTTTATTTTAATATCTAGATATGTAAGTACCATGAGATTGTGTGCAGTTAGTTTTGATAGTAGCGTGACTGGAAGCCCTGCTCGGTGTGGGAGAATGTGCCGCAGACGCCGTGTTGATAGAATGTCCGTCATCGTTAAGAACAATGGCGACGTTCGTGTGGGTGTTACGACGACTTTGTGGTTTTGATGGTGACTGGCGGTTTCTTTTCCTTCTAGAATAGGACAGATTTAAATTCACATATTAACATGCAAAACCTATAATCAAAACGAGGAAGAAGAGAGAGGGCAGTTCATTCGATCAATTTATTATCTAAAATTTATTGACAATGAATATTACATCAATCAAAGCACTATCCTATCTTAACTAACTGTATTTCTAAAGGGCAATGCTATATTGGTAAAGTAAGGTCACTGATCTGGTAGATAATTCATACTGTAGATAATATGATTTGTAATTTTAAAAAATGCTTTTGAATATTCGTCATCGTAACTTGAATATTTAGAATATGGATTATCCATCTATATCATATGACATGACCTTGCAGTCGTCAACTAAAGACTTCCTGGTACATTTCATTCTACGCTCGTATACGCATACATATGCTGCATATATTCAAACAGATCTGACATGAGATGGGCGTAATACCTATATTCATTGATGATTAATTGCCTTCATTTATATTTCTATTTGAGTTTTTACCTTCTGATGACGACAAACAGCATAATGCCAATGAAGACGACAACGACACCAGCAAGAATTCCACCAATCAGAATAGAGAGGTCAGGATTGTCTCCTCCTACGCTGCTATTTTCTACTTTATCATCTTTTCCGGGAATTGTCAACGCTGTAAAAAGTAAATACTTATACAGTCCTCTTCAATGTATTAACGATCCTGTAACTCATTATTTTTGTGGTTTTATATTATAAATCTGATGCTCAAATGAAGATTTATCAATATTGTAAGTTCAAAAAAGCATTATTTGCAAAGATATTACCGAATAGATAAAGGGAGGTTATAAGGAATCATTAGCGTATTTTTTTACAATAAGGATTTGAATGATTACTATGGCGGCTGATTAAATTCACTTTGCGCATTGGGTTGTCGATAGCGACAACACAACCTATATCGTAATCGCCTTTTCGTCTTGTCGTCTTGTCGCTAGCGAAACGGTGTTGCACTGTCGTTTTGTCATCCTGTCGCTGGCGAAGCACGCAAAACGGCGCGTTGTCGTGCGGCGCGTTGTCGCCCTGTCGCTTGGCTTATATATATACAAATAGCAAATCCTTCGATTTGAGCCGAGCGACATCGCGACAACATGCCGCTCGACAACGCGCCGTTTTGCGTGCATCGTTAGCGACAGGACGACAAGACGATAGTGCGACAACGTGCCGTTTGGCGCTTTGTTGTGTTGTGAATAGCGACAACACAACGCACAAATATGTTCCAAATCAACCACCATAGATTACTTATAATGCCAATAAACATTTGCAGTACATATTTAACATATTCTTGTATGATTGGAAATTGTTTTAGAATAGTAATTATATACATGTATAAGATTTCACTTGAGTGTTGTTACATACTTAAAAATCACATACAGGGTCTTTAAGTAAATGGACATAGAATCTGTTTAAAATGCTTAATTTATAATGTTGTTACTTCCAACTTTATATCATGAGTTATTACTTTCGCTATAAGGTGCAATCTATCTTGGAAAACGGAGGAATTGTTTTCCCAGGTAAAATATCATATTATAAACACTATTAAAGCTTACCTAGAACACAGAGTTCTCCGTAATATTCTGCTTGGCATCCTTGCGGACATATACCGTCTACTGGATCACACGCCGTATTGTTTTTACAGAAACCACATGAATTACTACATTTTTGGCCGTATGACCCCTTCGTGCAAGCTATTGAAACAAACACAACTTTGTTTTATAACTAATGGCCATTTTCTATACTAAATATTATTACAATGTATTTTCTTAAATTTAATGCATGTTCTTTTTTTTCTTTTTGTATCATTAACTGAAATCGGTACAAAACTGGAATTTTACCAAATGATAGAAATAAAACCTGTCTTATTAAATTTCTTGTAAATGGTTTTGGTTTGCTTGATCATTTGAATGAAATGTGGCTATAATATAACTGTTGTAATTACCATCCGTGCATGATTTTCCTTGCCATCCTGACTCACAGCCATTAGAACAATCTCCAGTCACGTGATTGCAAGGTTCGCCATTTTTGCACGTGCCACAGGTTTGAGAACAGCCTGCTCCAAAATGGCCAGGTGAGCACACTAGAAGAAAAAAACATGCTAAATATAAATATACAAAATCAATGAACAAAAGAAACTGTGGCAAGGGTCCGGACTGACTTATCGATCACTATAATTCTATGTGTCCCTATGTGAATGACGTTTAAGTTTCATACTGTCACGATTTTCTTTTATCCGACCGTCGACGTCATTGAGATATTTTTACGTTTGAAGGCCTACATAAAGAGGGCACAACTCATCATCGTACGGTATGATATTTAAATATGTGTTTACGCGGCTGAATGAGATCTGTAATCAGATATAAAATATTGTAGAGATGTAATGTTTCATTAGATATCTAATGGTCCAAGCACTAAAACTATATTAACAGTTTATATTGTCCCTAATCGTTTAACGCTATTATTGGTACATTTAATCACTGCTTTGATCTGTTTGTCCACACACCATTTGAATAATTAATAGTGAACGCGATACCGGCACATGGTGTGACATTTATAACAATTATATTGGTGGATGTAAACTGACCTTAGAGACCAACTACGGCCCACAAACGTTTAATGAAATAGATTTCGCCCTAAATTTGATATCTGTCATCTTGTTGAGTACTAGTATCGAATTTGCAGAACATTTAACGAAATTGTTGCGTAGATACGAGCTGTCTTTCAAAATACGTGCTTTTTTAATATCAGCACAGAAAACGGCTAAAATTTAATTATACTGTAAATGGAATTTTCACTTTGAGTTATAGATATATAATGATATACTTACTATTTTTACATTTGTCACCATTCCATCCATCTTTACAGCCATTGGTGCAAATACCAGTCACGTGATCACATGATTCCCCGCCAACGCAGAATCCACATTCACCAGTACATTGGTTACCGTAAAATCCGCCTGGACAAACTGAAACACAAGACATGTGTTGTATAACAATTATGAAATTTAAAATCAAATGACTGTTTTCTTCGCTGTAGAAACAGCGTCGTACATGGTGACTATACAAGGGAGTTGTGACGTTTATCATCATTTTTGTTCAAATGAGTATTTGTAAGATATATATTAGAAATAGACTGACCGAAGCAAAATGTTGAGTAGAAATGCCACAAAATATTTTGCCTGGCTGATTTGCTATTTAAATGGCTGGTTACTCATTCATACGAATTACGTCAATTTGATTTATTGGCATTACACCGATTTTGGAAAATCGGTCTCACAAAAATGAGAGACCAAACCTGAAACACAACGTAGGTGATCATAATTAACTTAAAAATTGTGTAGAAAACACATTAACAATATATATTGAATGTTCAGTGCCCAGGAAGTTAGGAATTTATTATCATATGTACGCTACTCCAGCTGTCCTAGATTGAACGAGTATTAAAATAGAAATTTTTATTCCAAACCTTTGGAATTCTGCGTCATGTATATTTATATACATAATAAAAGCCAGAGTCAAAAGTAAACTGTTTACACCGCCAAGAAAACGCTTGATAAAAGTTAAGGTAAATCGGAAATTTTTTCATGACAAAAATGTGCTCATTTATATAAATTGCGTTACAATAAAAATGTCAGTGATTGTTCCCCCCTGATAAGCTCTCGTTTTTAAAATACGAAGCTGTCAGTGTTCCACCAGTAATTATTCTATCATAGTCTGATATCTAAATCATTTCATCAGCCGATGGTGGCTGATGTGTTAATATTAAAAATGCAAAATTATGTGCTTGGTCAACACGTATAAAATCAATGCACTGAAGGTTCGGGAACGCTAAAAACAGAATAATTGGCCGTTATGATTTCAAGATTTGTTTATACTAACTTTGTTCATCAAACTTTGTTAAATCGACACAGCACGCAGATTGTACTGTGACTGTATGGCGTGATCAGATATATTTCCGTGTCGAGAAGATTTCTTTGGATATATTACGCCAGTAACAGAAAATTGAAACCCCTTTTATCGATGTTGTATGAAATCGACGCGAGGGCTCCCGATTTAGTAGTCAAATGAACAAAATAAAATTCATACGCTGAAAAACTATCTTCACATAACATTACACCTGGTATTAACGTTTTATTGCAACAGATGTCACTCACATTAATTACACCTACAATTGAAAGTCTAAATGCATTAAATACATTGAGATATATGTGTATTACATATGTAACAGTTTTGAATTGTTTCGTACGCGCGTGCGTGTGATTTGCCTGGTGAGAATGCGTGATTCGGTTTTTAGCATTGCTGAAGATCTTTAACTGTTTCTTGGTCTTTTAAGGGATTGCATCGTCACAATTTAAATCAAAGGGCTGCATGCTCTAGGGTATTTTCTGATCTTTCCTGTATAAGTTTATTTTTATATACCATAATTCATCTTACGCAGCGACTGCGTTTAGATTTTTTTCTATAACAGTTTGAGATTGATACATATGGAATTTTGCATGCCTAGAGTTGCATCAAAAAATCATTTTTCATTTTTTTATGACAGCCACACTTTATCCTTGCATATCGTGGCTACTTCCTTTAAAAAGACATTTAAAAAAAAATGTTGCCTCGACTAGGATTTGAACCTTTGGCCTCTCACACCCTAAACGAGCGCGCTACCTCTGCACCACGGTGAAATAATACGTATGGAGTTTGAATAAAAACAAATACATTGTAATTCTAAAATTGAGAATTTTCATTTCGTGTTTGTAATCCTTATAAATTTCGAGGTATTTTTTTCACGATAAACCTGTTGTTAAACACTGATGAAAATAATTTAGCGAAAATCTTCTCGCCAAAACAGTCCGACATGTATATATTCCACTACTCGACAGTCAGATTTATTTGTGTACTACGCTCTGGAGTATTCGGTAATCGACATAGCTAAAAATAGCATTTTCATTGATTAAGCTTTACGGAAATAGTCGAACATTATTCATTGGTTAAAAAAGATATCCATCCGCGAAATTTGTGATTGTAACCTCATATTTCTATTGATTAATCTAAACTTTTAATGCACTGTAATTCGTTAAATGTCTACATTAAAAATTATTCTTTCTTTTAAATTGCTGGTTTTTAAGCAGTTTTGAGTGAGAACTACTTTGCGTTGTTAGGTCTGTGAGGAAATTTTGTGTTAGACTATGTATTTACTGATCTTGCGATCAGAAAATACAAAAACAGACTTAACTGCCTCAATACTGGTTGCATTTGCCCGCCGGTTTGACCGCAGTCAGTATAAGTTCATAAACCGGACTCCTCATTTTGTTTACACTACAAGCGTACAACGGGGAATAATAAATCAGAGCATTTCAGGCTACAATGACATTCTTCCCGAGCTTATCGGTGATGGTTATTTATGACGTTTGAATGAATATTAACAATATCCTAGCAATGAGCGATGTTATAATTAATTAATAATTACTTAATTGCCGTGCGTCAGATATTCAACAACGTACAAGAATGCATTTAATCAAACTGAAGTAAAACAATAGAAATGATTCAGATTCACAAAATCATTTAATCTCAGCGGAATTTGATATGGTATAAATTCTAACCACGTGCGCGTTTACACACAGGAAAGTTATTTGTGTACTATGTATATATATCTAGATTAATATAGACATTTTCCATACTAGGTAGTAAACATGCGTTATACTGAATGTAATTTTTGTTGTATTGTTTCAACATAAATTATCATCTTATTGTAATATCAATAAATATTTCAAGTGTAAAGGACGGAACTGTGAAATCAACTCCCAGAACTAATTCGAAGGAAATGGATATTTTAAGTGCACAGTTGTAATAATATTGGTTACTGATCATGATAACAATTAAGAGGCATTTCATACAAAATACTGTGTTCAACGAGAATTTACGCAGATAAATTGGTTTTTGTGAAAGTACAGACACCATTTAACAAAGTAATCCCTGAAATCCCTGAAGATATAGCCTGAAATTATAATAATGTATTTTGATTACACCAAATGATGGTAACAGATGTGAGATGCATTATTCTATGTTACATTCATATCTATTTGAAGTCTAGCACTTGTAACATCTAGTTCGCTTTTAGTGTTTAAACAAGCATTGTCTGGTCGAGATCAAAGAATGGACGGACATATGTTTGGAAATGACAGTATAGGTGACATGTTGAATGAAAGTAAGACAGAAAATACAACCAGTTCACCAGCAAAAGAAGATTCGTCTTCTGTTTACTATGAAGACATAAATGTAATGCTATGGAAAATAGTTCCGCCAATTTTGATAATTTTCGGAACAACAGGAAACACTTTGACAATCTTGGTTAATTTACGCATGAAAAAGATAACGTCCACGTCGCTATATTTGATAACTTTGGCAATATCAGACACCACAATTCTTTTATGTGGACCTTTAAGGAACTGGATCACGTACATGTGGGGCAAAGATATCCGTAAACTTAGTGACGGTGCGTGTAGAACACAATTATATCTTACATACGCTAGCGTTCATTTTTCGTCATGGCTTCTCGTCGCTGTTACAATCGAGCGAACAATAAGCGTAGTTATTCCACATAAAGTAAAATTAAGTTGTACTCGAAAAAATGCGGGAATTACTATTCTGGCCATTTTTGTCTTTACGTTTGGTGTAGATGCAGTAATACCAGTAATTCAAGGACTGGAGGGGTTCGGTAACAAGGCATGTGCTCCTACAACTGCAGCATACCTGAAGTTCCGCGATGATGTTTGGCAATGGATTGATCTATGTATGGCATTTGCAGTGCCATTCTTTTTCTTGGTCACTGGAAACAGTATAATGATAGTAACGCTTTGCAATTCTCGAAGGAAAAGGATAGCAATGAGCGAGTTCAGTATCCCGGGAGGAAATACTACCAGCCGCAAAGATATATCAATTTACGTCTTAATGATCGCTCTTTGTTGTATCTTTCTTCTGACGATGACACCTGTGGTTGTCTATCAAATCTACTCCCCTTATCGCTTGGAAGAACTTCGAGCTTTGAAAAAAATTGATCCTGTAAGGGCATGGGAAGAATATTACCTATTCCTCCTCCAACATACGATCGTCAACCTTGTCACTTACGTAAACGCTGCCATGAACTTTGTACTGTATGTATTTACCGGAACAAAGTTCCGCACAGAGCTCACCAGGCTGTTTTGCTGCAATCGGACAAACGGGAGAGTTTATATGGCTGGAAAAACACCTAAGAAAACAAGTGAAGAAATAAAAACAAAAACTACCAGCGTCTCTACCACTTCTTCAAGTAAGGAGTGTATGTCTAAACTCATTTAATCAGCAGCATCCTCATGAAATCAAATCAAATATTTGTGACAAATAAAATAAACAGTTAAGAACATGAGTTTCACCAAGATATAATTTAAAACGACCATGGTAAACTATTTTTTCTTCTATTTTTAATTTCGTGTAGAAAATGAAAATTTTCTTTGATCTTCATTGAATATCATTGAATATCGTGTTCATCAATTTCCTTATTGTTGTAATTGTTTGGTTATATGTATGACGATTTTCATTTTAAAAATAAATTGTTGAATAGATAGTTTATTCACATTTGTTAAATGCATCTACTTTATTCCTGTGATCGCAAGAAACGATACAAGTTAAATTAAAACATTTTGTATTTGAGCCGCGCCATGACAAAACCAACATAATGGGTTCGCGATCAGCATGGATCCAGACCAGTCTGTGCATCCGCGCAGTCTGATCAGGACCCATGCTGTTCGCTTACAAACCCTATAATAAGTAGAGAAACTGATAGCGAAGAGCATGGATCCTGATCAGACTGCGCGGCTGCTCGTAGAAAAATACATAGCCTCAGAAAGCTACTACTACATAATATTCCGTATGTATAAAGTACATGTATACAGCCACTTAGAAAAAGATATATGAGACTACGCATACATTGTACATGCATTTACATAATACAACACAGTATATATATAATATCATGACTCATATAATGTATAAATTAAAAAAATCAATAAAACAGCAAAATACTTTGTTGGAAATTGTTGTACAATGGACCCGATATGTAAACATGTATTTCGTCTTCAATATTATAATTACAGCTTATACAAACTCTTTCGTTTACCGGCAATCCTTCTTATATACCTCTTTTTCAGGGGAGCTACCACACAGATTTAGAGCAAAAGATATTTTTACATATATAAAGTATTCAAAATTATATTCCTTTTTAAAAAGTCTATATGATCTAGATTTGTTTCCACATTGTCGGTTACAACTTTTACTTTACTGAAGTCATTGATTTAAAAATTACTCGATGACGTAATTAGCATACTGTACAACGTTCGATTTAACTTTTATTTTATTATACTTTCATATACATTGTTAACACTACGAACAATATATTTTTCATTAACGCTATTATTTTTGTACTGTACAGTGATCCGTGAAAATACATGTAATTAATTCGTACCTGTAGTAAAGATGCGATATTATCAAAATACAAAAACAGTATGTAATAAAAATTTATTGAACCTGATCGCTAATATTGTAGGATTAATACTAAATACGTATGAACGCTCGGTGAAATGTTGTGTTTGCTTGTTTTGTTGGATTTTAAGGTAGAACGCGACACTTTGCGAACTTTCGAGCAGCGTCTTGAAAATTGGCATGCAAATATTTGACCATATTTCTGATTAGGTTCCGTTGATTTTAGTTCAATAGTTTCAGCCATTTTTTGTACACACGGCGTCAAAGTTGACAATCAAGCCCGTTTTTGAACATGACGTCTTTGCGTATCCTTGGCAACTGTTACGGGTATTTCAACGTCATTGGTGGACAAAATATCTTAAATTCTACAGCATTCGACGGAAATTTTCCTTTAAGCTGATATAAAATTTAACGTTTTTCGCCGAAAAGTGTTTTAAAAATGGAAAGAAAATTGTCAATTTTGTATAAAATTTGACGTTCAGTTTAGCCGCATTTTTCGGCTTTAAAGCGGCTTATTAAAAAATTCCTGAAATAAATTTTTGATTTGTTTCTTTAAACGTTCTTTAAAATATATACTCAGTCTAAATGACTAAACAAAATAGGGGGTCACCGACTCAATTTTTTGGGTACACGTGATTTTATTTTCCCCACCCCTATGTATAAAAGTCACGCTATTATTGGTGGAGGAAGACTTCGCATTATTTCAGGCACGAGCGGGTATTTAAGTAGAATCAAGGCCTTCCGTGGGCTCGCTGAATAGCTTCTCGACATGAAATAATCCAGAGTTAAAATGATAGTTAATTGGTTAATCGTATCATATTTATTTTTCTACACCTGAATTATATTTAAATTGATACTACAGCGTATAGAAGGCCGTTGCGCTAATGAAAACGGCCAATTTTAACTAAAATGCACTTTTTAATTACAAACAGTTGACTGGACTACACTGGACTTTTAGTGTTACCGAAGCGTTAAAGGCCATGGTTTAATGGTAAAGGAAGTCTGCCGGCGGTAGTCCATACATTATTTGACAAATAAGCTCACACTTTCGTGAAACCCCTAGCTAAATCTGTAATATATATAACCGTTTGATCTTCTTTTAAATAATATTGTTTTCCAGAAAATAGTTCAGGGTGTACCATTAACGGAATTAAAAAACTGGTTTATGCCTCATGCGAGATAAAGTCCATTCTACAACACTCCTTGTTTCGACATTAATAAATAATTATTGCAAACTAATGCTCAAATCACCTTCCTAAAATGTTTATTCGACGGCTTGAATCCCTTGATATCAATAAAACTGATGTCATCATTTATCAAAAAAAAAAAACATATAATAATTGTCCCCACCACTTATAAATAGGGTTTCAATTAGATACGTTAGAATAAAACAACTTATATCTTTTATTTAAAACAATTTTCAATGGTATTACTATAGCCTGCAATTAACCATATAGTATAAGAGAAAAATATATATAAATAAAGCGCAATTCGTGTTTTAGGCGATGTCCTAGAAGTATGTCTCCAGATTCATGCTATTTACATGAATATTTAGACATGTATGTGTAAGTAAAATATTGTAAAGTGAACAAAGGCAATAATTTACACATTGCAAACGGCTCTTACAGTCC